GTGGGGGGGGGGGGGGGGGGGGGGGGGGGGGGGGGGGGGGGGGGGGGGGGCTCCGTGATTGAGCATCTATGGCATGTATCTCACATCGTCCCCGTCCTGCATCTGGTCCTCCAAAGCCTCCTCCTGTCGCCAGAGGCCGAGAACCTCGTCCGCGTGGAGAAAACGTTCCAGAGTAGACCCGACCTTTCCGCGGGAATAACCACCGCGGCAAAACGACACGGAACACACTAATACTTTCAGAACAACGAAACGAGGGTTTCTGCATTATCATCAGTTACTTTGAAGACCGCAAAAGCGACGTCCCGCTGTTCGTACTGCAGAGCCTCTCGTTCCTCAGGAAGGAAGAACCACAGCCTGCAAACGCAGAGTGAATCTCACCTTCAAATCGGGATGTCGCAAAACACGCCGAACAAGCTGAAAAAACAAGTCCAATTTTCTTCCCGATAGGTCAGGGATGGATGGATCGATCGATCGGATCGATCGACAAGAGAAAAATACACCCGGCACGGCAAAGCTTACGGCCCAGGTCGTCCGATGGGGACGGTTGCCCATGTTTTGCGACCGTCATCTGCAACACAAACACCGCCACCAATCAACGGCAAAAGTGCTGCCATGCTGTGTCCAATCCGTCCGGCGGCACGACCATTCGCGCCCTGCCCTGCTATGCTCAATCGACACGCTTAAACAATAGTAAATAGTATCATACCGTTTTCAACCCTTCCATTCCCTCAACTACCGTCTCCGCCGTCACACCCAAATCGCCACCAAAAACAACGACACTATCAACTATCGAAAAATTTCGACGCCGCCCCCCTCAAACTCCGTATCCGCTGTTACACCCAAATCGACACAACACACAACGGTACTACACCATCAACTATGATACCTTTTCAAATCCTGCCCCCCCTGCTCCCCCCGCCCCGCCGGCTAACTCCCGTCTCCGCTGATACACCCAAATCGAACAAAAACGAAAGACTTCAACCCATTCCCCCCACCTGCTGTTGTTACATCTCAAACGGGTAGCCTGCCATTGAATTGGATGCATACTTGTGTAAAACATGGAAGGAGAGCCCCGCAACTCTCAAAAAACAGCCCGCCGCCCTCTCACCGGTGGCCGCGTGAGGCCCAGGTCGTCGAAGGCGGTGCCCAGCGCTACCTTGGCCCTCTTGACCGTCCTCTTCGCCACCGCCCTCTGCGCCGCCTTGGCTCTCCTCACGGCTGTTTCGGCCACCGCCCTCTGGGACTGGATCGACGGGAGCGGGAGCGAGCGTCGGAAGAAGGCCGCCTTCTCCCTCTGCTGCTGCTGCTGCTGCTGCTGCTGGTTGTCAGGGGGCGTGGAAAGGGAAGCAGCATCCTCGTCCTGCGGACAGGGGTGGGGGGGGTGGGGGGGGTCAATCGTGTCGTCAGAGAAATGGGCGACAAGAGTGTTTTCTAGGTGAGCGAATAGTGGTCTTCCAATTGAGCGGAACAGCGTTCTATTACATGGACAAAGGAGAGTTCTCCTTATAGGAGAAAAGCGCGTTTTGAGTGCGCAAAAGAGCATTTGTTCACGTGAGTGAAGAACGCTTCTTCAAGGGAACGAAGAACATTCATATTCGAAGCGAGAGAGGAGCGTCAGCACGCACGCACGCAGCACCAAAATAAACGCTAAATAGGAGCGCACCCACGCAAAGCAGGGTAACGCAACCAGGATGGCACCTTCTAGAATAACCTACCCCTTCTCTCCGACTCAACTGCGTTACGTTCACCGCCACAACACGCCATCTCTGCCGCTGCTGCTGCTGCTGCTGCTGCTGCTGCTGCTGCTGCCGCCTCAACACCAGGTGATGAGACGGAGGACTACGTAACATGACGAGAGACAGATGGAGCGACCCACACCGAGGCTTAAGAACGGCAACCAAGAACCGCAGATAAACAAACAACCCGTAGCATAACACGCCCTGTATCGTGAAGATACACCGCCACGGCCCCAGCACAACTCCAACCAAAGACGGGAGATGTCCTCTTCAAATCATGCGCTCACCATCGCTACCGGGGAGGGTCGCAGCTTCTCCGGTATCCACCACCGCGGTCTCTTGCCTCCCGTCGTATCCCCTGGGTTTGTTCCCGGATCGCCCCCCCCCTCGATAGTCTCCTCCTCTTCCGCGTCGCCCCCTGGTTGCCGCTGCTGGTCGCTGCTGCTCCCCTGCTGCTTCTGCCCCCCAGGAGTCGACTCGGAAGGGACGGTTAGCCCCTAGGAATAACATTCGAAAAAAAAAGATGCGACAGAGAAGGGGAGTGGGCGGCGGGTGGCACTCTCTCTCTCTCTCTCTCTCTCTCTCTCTCTCTCTCTGTGTGTGTGTGTGTGTGTGCATGTGTGTCTCGCTCTCGATCCTGCACAACTCAAGTGTCGGCAAGATGAGGACCCCTCCGCTGTTTTCAAATCCACATAGGGTTGTCATTGACCAGCTGGTCAGGGCTAGGGATAGGATAACGATCGACGCTAATCAAAAATATTCACACACGCACACATAACCGGTCGCCCCGGTGGTCTAGTGCGTAACCTCGCAGCCTGCTAAGGTCCAGGTGATGGCTTCGAGTCCCGGCAGAGTGAGTTTTTTTCTCACTATATAAATCCTGGTCTATGATGAAAAGCGACGCGCTGCAAAGCTCGTTGTTAGTACACCATAATCGACTTCGTAAGTCGCGAGGGAAGGGATTGCTGTACCCTTCTCGCGATAAAAATACCTCAGGCAGGAACCGCATGAAGGGGTCCAGCCCCCCCCCTCCTATGTGACCCCGGTTGGGTCGTCTAGCTAGTAGAAGAGGAGGATAGGGGCCAGAGGGGCAGACGACAGAGTCCAATGATGGGAGAACAAAAAAACAAACAAATACCTCAGGCAGGAACCGCAGGAGGGGGTCCAGTCCCCCCCCTCCTTTGTGACCCCGGTTGGGTCGTCTAGCTAGTAGAAGTGGAGGATAGGGGCCAGAGGGGCAGACGACAGAGTCCAATGATGGGAGAACAAAACAACAAACATATATTCTTCTTCATCTTGTATCCACCGCTCCTGTCATAAATCCGGGCAACAGCGAAACCTCCCCCCATCCATGGGGTCCCGAACATGGCCTCAAAAAGACTTTCTGTTTTCAGCAGCACTGGGGCTGAAGTATTTCTATTGGTCAACGAACATTAGAGAAACACATACATACGTAAGTACAGATGTACGAGGTTTCATTGCACGTCCCTTCATCGCTCGCTTTTCATTGGTCAGCCTGCTAGCGCAATCGATGCCACAAAAAAGACAAAACGCACAGACGCACATACGCGTTTCTTATCCTGCGTTAAGGCTATAACGTCTTTTCATTGGTCAGCCGGATAGCGTTATCGATGCCAACAATAAAAAACACGCACACGCACACGCATTGTTCACCGAACAGACAGCTAAATAGCTTGGTCGATACCAATTCAAAAAGCACAGCACCAACACGACACACACACCGCACCAGCTCGTTCAGCGCCGCTTCAACGGACGCCCTGGCCCTCTCCACCCGGTCGTCCAGCGCAAGCACGCTCTCCCCCACTGCCTCAAACCCCTCCTCGACGGCTTCCCCTACCGCTTCGAACCCTTCCTCCACCGCTTCCTCTAACAGGTCCAACATCTCGTCGGGGGTGGCGGGGGCGCCACCGCCTGGTTGCCGGTTTTCCGGGGTCCGGAGGGCGTCCCGTTCCATGTTATTAGGCGGAACGTTCCGTTCCGTGTTACAGGCACAACACGGGGAGAAACCAAGAAAAAAAAAGGCGGTATGAGGGAGGTTTCTTGCTGGGGTGTTGCACAGGCAACGACCGAATTGTGAGCAAAAGGAGGGATCAACACGGATGCTCCTCGCACAATAATCACGATTCAGACCTCGGACAACGTTGGCTGGGTGGATGGTAGTTCAACGCCTTGCAAGCAAGCAAAACACTTGTTTCCCGTAAAACACTTGTTTCCCGTCGATACAGGGATCTACGCAGGTTTTTCTAAGTAATCAAACATGCTGGATAAAGTATCGGCAAAACTAGGGTTAGGGTTAGGGTTAGGGTCTGTGTGCCCCTTCCATGCTCTTTTTCGTAATAAACTTACATCGACAACCTCAAAACACACGCGCATCACGCGGCACTATCACCAAATAGCCCCGAACTATTTAAGGCGGGAAGTAGTTCGGCCCGCTTGTTCTGTTACCCGTGCCACACCGAGACCACCCGAATCGACATAAGAGCTCGGCATTGCACTCTCACCGCGCTTTCTCCATTGGCTCAGCCACCCCGAACCCCGCCCCTCCTTTCCGACCACCTCCTCCACCTCCTCCACCTCCTCCGCCTCCTCCTTTGAACCACCACCATCAGGGGGCCCGAAATCCAAGTCCATGTACGCCGGCCAGCCGCCGAGCCCCAGCTCGTCGAGGGCATCCTCCAAGGCCACGCGCGCGCGCTTGATGCGCCTCCTCGCCGCCTCCGCCGCCGCCGCTGCGGAATAAGGCCCCTTGTCCCCGCCCCCGCTCCCGCCGCCACCAGCGGAACTCCCGCCGCCCACTTCTATCACGTCCGTGCTGTTCTCGCCGCTTTCCAAGGTCGCGGAATCGTTCTCGATGAACGGGGCGGACCCCTCTGCCTCCTTCTTCTCCTTCCGCCTTGCCGCTCCTCCGACGACCTCTCCTCGGCCACGCACGTCCCTCCCCCCTCCTGTGAGACCCGGGGCCCCCTCGTTCCCGCCGCTCTGAGCCTCTTCGCCCCCGTCCCCGGTCCCCGGAGTTCTCCGCAGGGCGTTTTCGGTGTCCCCGCCGCTGCTGCTGCTGTCATCGCGCCGCCCATCCCCCCGCCTCCGCCGGAGCCCCATCAATGCCGTCGGGGTTCGAGAGGACGGGTGGCCGACGGTGCTGCTGCTGCTGCCGCTACTGCTGCTACCATGTCTTGATCGAACGCCGTTGGTGATTCCCGTTCCCATGCTGCCGCGTGGTGATTTCAGGGGGTCGGGGACGAAAGAATTCATCGAGAATTTGCTGCATTTGCCATTGGTTTTGTGGTGGACAGGTTGTTATGCTATGCACACTATTTGCGGTTGTGCGGTTGTGCGGTTGTGCGCGGGGTGGGGTTCTCGTAATGTATTGAATGATACACAGCAGACCAGGCTTTGCCTACTGCTGAGGTATATGCGAGGGGGCGGGGGCGGGGGCGGGTTGGAAAGACCGAAAGACCGCTGCAAAAGGCCCAGAAGACGAAAGCGAGGGGGTGGTGGTAGCACCTGCATGCGTCGGTAAGAACGTGTGCGCTTGATCGAACTTTGACCGAACACTTCCCTCTCCATTCGTCCACAAAAGATCCAAAGAAACAAACACAACGCTCGAATACTGTACCCCTGCGTATCCTTCCGTTTCACCCAGTTTCCCAAAGGACAGCTGAAATCTTGATCGACACCCAGCGTTGTCGACCGATTGAACAGACACCAGCCTACGGCGGATCCGGGCGCTGGTGTGCACCTACAGTAGTTCCGGCTGCTGTGTAGCAAGAAGTCGTCCGGTTATCTGCATGGTACACGACAAGCGTGTGCCCTGTGATGCTGTGATGACACACTGTTAGAGCCAGTCGCGAGTTGACAAGTCTTCAACAGCGCGTCCCTTCATTGTTCCACACAAGGTGTTGCACAAGTAGCATGTTCATTGCCCCGCCCCCCCAACTTTCTTCAATGAGGGCATGAAGAGGTAACATCAAAATGACGGTGGGTGCGCGAGCGTTGGGGGGGTGGGGGGTGGGGGAGGGGATGCACTGTTCGGAGATTTGGCTGTGCACTGAACAGATCCCGACAAGTTGAAGGTACGTCTTCAAACACATCTCCATCTATGGGCTACAACGCATGTCACATGACCAACAAGACCTGCGTGTTTTTGACGCTCACAGAAGAAGCGACACAGCAGTCGTCATACTGCCACCGCAGGTGCATCCTCTTGCTCCCACAGGACCCTACGCTTAGCATTGGGGGGCCAAAACATTGCGGGGCTCTCGTCTGAACATTGCGTGCCGATATGCTCTTTTGTGCACACGCGAACTCTGCGTTCCAGACAGCACGCAGCCGGGGAATGATGCCAAACACACAAGCCAGCACAAACACGCTGCTGCAGCTTCGCGCCGGCATCGAAATACGGCGGGTAACAGCAATGTCTGGACGCTGACTGACCTCCGGCTGCCACTCGGCAGGCAACATGATGGCCTTGTTGCTGCTGCGCGGCTGCCGCTGCTCCTGCGGCTGGTGTAGCAGGTCGGAGAAGAGACGAAAGCACCGCCGGTACCCGACGTGGTGGTCGCCACGAGCCCTACCGCCGAAAAGGCCAACGTTGCCACCAAAGAAGCTTCTCTAACGGGAGGCTTCATTTGTACCAAGAAGAGTTTGAGAGCAGCAGCACAGCGCGCAGCGAAAGGTCTTCCAAGTTGCTGCTTGCATGTCTTGGTCTCAGGTCTCCCAAATGGTCTGAATGGTGGGGGCCCCGCGGTCAAGAACGTGCGTGGGGGATAGAACGTGCGCATTGGTTTGTTTGTGTCTATAGATGCACCAGTTTATGAGAGGTGGTTGGATATCGCCGCACTCTCCTCGCACTATGCAACCATGGTAACCACAGCAACCATCCGTCATCAATCCTTGCAGTCCTAGCGATAAGAAACGGATGCGTGAAACTAGTGTGGATCGAGAAAAACCTTTTTCTCACGGTCTTCCTGCTGTGGTATCCGTCTCCCCCTCTCTGTCCGTTGTGAACGCCTCGCCCAGTCATTTGTTGTAGACTAGTCTAGACTATATTTTTATTTCCCTCCCATCATTGGACTCTATCGTCTGCACCTCTGGCCCCATCCTCCACTTCTACTAGCTAAACGATCCAACCGGGGTCAAAAAGGAGGGGGGGGGTTGGACCCCCTCCTGCGATTCCTGCGTGGGAGATTTTTATCGCGATAAGGGTACAGCAATCCCTTCCCTCGCGACTCATGAAGTCGATTGCAGCGCGTCGCTTCCAACGGAGACCAGGATTCAACAAGTGAGAAAAACTCACTCTGCCGGGACTCGAGCCCATGACCTGGCCCATAGCAAGCCGCAAGGTTCCCCACTAGACCACCGGGGCAATTGAATGAAAATGACGGCATCCACCCATCTGTAGCCAAGGACCAGGACAATCATGTGCTACATACGATACAGCAGTAGCAGCAAGAGAGCCGCAAGTTCATCAATAGACTACAGCATGATCGAGGCCGTACGATGAGCGAGAGCTGGACAAATGTCCATAGCAGCCCACAGCCAGAAAAGGTTGCGTTATTGCCGTCACCACTGTACCAACTTGTTACTACGTTACTCCATCAACTTGCTCATGTTGCACCTGCGCTCACTCTGAGAGAGGATGATTGCCACCAACCCTTGAACACCAGTGTGTGACCATGCCATGGATCAACATTGGGGACCGAAACTCGGCTTGTCCTTTTTATGGGTGAGCCGGCTAGCGCGGCCGATGCTATTTCGGAGACACGGACGCACACACGCGGTTCCAGCGGGGGCATTTGTGTGGGTGAGAGATGTGTGTCCACGTGAAAGAGTATGTAGAGAGAGTCGTATTAGCATTCGTATTTAGTCTAGACTAGTACATTGCGCATTTTCCTCGATGTTTACCCGCCGGCACTTCCGTCTTTTCATTGGTCAGTCGATGCTAATAATGAAAACACACACGGAGACACGAGAGCCGTCCGTGCGCAATGGATCCACAATTTTCAACGCCAGTCACGCTTTTTCGGAGGGAATGAGGACTAAGATGGAGGTTGAGATAGAGATCGGAAGTAGAAAAGAGAGCCAGGGGCAGGAGGAGCGAAAGAGAGCACACGGATGGCGTGGCGTCTGTTCAACTCCAGGCAGGGTGAGTGTGTGGGCGAGGCTCTCCCGTTGGATTACTTTCAGATTATCTCGGTCGCTTCCTTGCAGCAGTTACATTCGGTTGGTGTGGATTAGATTTCGTGTGCACGCATTCGTTGGGTGCTATCTTCGTCGGGCTAAAACAGACGCGATAATGCCTTCGCCAAACCTTCAACGCAAGCCTGCGTGTTGTTTGGCAAAGTATTGAGAAAGACGCAAGCAAACAATTCTTTGGGAGGAAATCTTAGGTGCGGTCGATCAACCCCCGTCGCCTCTGCTGACCATCTCTTAACGTCGAGAGGGGGGTGTGCGCTCGTCCGTCTCAGCAAGTTTGAAAGTGAGAGTGGACGTTGACAACTAGCAGAAGGCCATACAACATCCTCGTCAGTTCCGAGGAGACCCGATCTTGTTCGCAAGCACGAGGTCGCCATTTTTCTGTCCGTGCCGATCATAAGCCAGGCTGCCGTGGGTCCTCGTCATTGCCGCTTCGCACTACCCACCGTTCCCGAACATTTTCAAGGTTTTAGCCTCGGTATCCCCCGCCACCCCAGCCAGAAAGTGGCCGGGTTATTATCCGGGTATCCATCAAGAACATTCACGCCAGCTACCAACCAACAACAAGGCTCGCCGAACAAAACTGAAATACCGTCATCTCGGGGCCAAGTGCAGAGGCGATGCCTTGACAACAAAGAATCTCGCGATACATAGACGGGTCGACTTGTCCAAGCCAAGCATATGGCCCGCACCACAGTGGCAGCTGTCATGTCCCAGGTTGCCGATGGGTGTCTTCGAAATTCACCGCTACTCTTTCGGCGTGGGCTGATCAGCCGGAGGCCATGATGACCAGCCTCCGCTTGAGCAGAAAACGACGCAAACACGTCCAAATCAACCATCGCCATTGGTCAAACAAACGGCTGGCCGCATGGCCTGGCTGCGACAGGAAACAAAAACCCTCTAAAACAAAAATGCGTGCCCAACGAGCGCAAAAAAAATAAGCTTAGAAGACCTCCTCCAGGCTGGGCATCGCTGGCTTTGGTATGTGGCTGGTCTTGGTGGTCACCACCTCATCGATGAGCCCGTAGTCCATAGCCTCTTCGGGGGTCATGAAGAAGTCGCGGTCGCAGTCATCCTAGCGGCAAGCGGAGAAAAGGAAGAGAGGAAGGGTAGGCAACAAAGGTCATGAGCAAGTTTCGGTCGCAGTCATCCCGACAGTAAGCACGAAGGAAGCAAGACAGGGGAAGCAAAAAAAGTCATGGAGCGCAGTCATCCCGACCGCAAGCAGAGATGAGGAGAGGAAATGTACACGTTTAACATGCTCGTACACATGCCTACCCTATTCAACGGTACGAAGAAGTCGCGCTCGCAGTCATCCCGACAGCAATTGAGACCAAAAACACAACACGCCCAATACATTGTTGTCGGTAACACTCTTGCCACTGGAGAGATCTATCGGGAGCACTACAATACATAAGTTCTGTACCTGAATCTTGTCGGCGGGCTGGTCGCAGTACTCCGCCATGTAGGAGTTGAGGAGCGAGCGGATGAACAGGATCTCCTTAGCTTGGATCTCGATGTCCGCCGCCTGCCCCTGAGCCCCTCCCAGGGGCTGGTGAATCATGATGCGCGCGTTCGGCAACGATCGGCGCTTGCCCTGAACGGACACGTCCACAGGAACGGTAAGTTGAAAGCAGGGGATGGAGTAAACCAACGACAGAGCAGCGGAACGTTGAGCGGGAGGAAGAAAGGAGTGGACGAGATGGGGGGAA